CTCAGCACAAGCACAATAATAATGTACTAAAATATATATTTAATAATATGTACTTATACTAAAATAGAAAATTATTTAATTAAAACTGTAAAATGTAGTAATACGAACAGAATGTCAATTTTATAAAATACGTATTACTCGTATATTATTATACACATTAATAATCAAATATATCAAACATTTAAGTAGGTAATAAAAGCGATAAACTCTAAGAATGAACGCGTTTTGTAATTAATTTTAGTCTTAAAATGGGAAAGAAAATGTGTGTTGTTGTAATTAAGTTTAGTTTTTAACTTAAAAATATTAATAAAATTATCAGTGGAGTTTACGTTTGTTATACAGGTCAAAAGTTTAGTACCATTGGAATTTACATGTTTTTCACGGGTATAATAAAGTATAATATAGTCATAACGGTTACATTTACACACACAAAAGATACATTCATAACGGAATTTACAATCACCCACATATTAGGTACAGTATATGGGCAATGGGCATATGGCTATATTAATAATTGGTACATAAGTGCATATTATTATAGGTATAGGTGTTTTCGAATATCGCAAAATTTGATTTGTACAATAAATTATTGTAAATACACGACCGCAGGGAGGAACCGATAGTTGACCGGGTATTAGGTAACAGCTGCGTATACAGTGTAAGGTACCTACAATTTATTGCATGTTGATATAATAATATAACATCATTAATAACTGCTTGTGCTATTTTCCTGTTACCCCCTTCCGCATAATTCCGTCGCAGCGGTACTTATGTTTATGAACTGCAATACTGCACAATAACGTCATATTTTCTGTGGATTGCATTTTACGAGTCCTGCGAACAAACACGGTGTCAATCGATTAATTATTGCGCAGTTTGTGATAATTAATTATAATATATTATTATTTATTACTATTGTTTTTCCGAGACGATATTCTGTCAGACGCTGCGTCGTCATTATCGCCACTTGGTGACGTTTCAAAAAAATACAATTCTGTTGTCTGAAGTATTTACTATCTTGCGCACTCACGCTCACTCTCTCATACTATATTATTATATTATACAAATATACGAATTATTGTAGCGTATGATATTATATCCCATACATTTTCGATCGTTTCTAATCATTTTTATTTGAAAATTATGTAAATCTGTGACGTCCCGGAAGCCACAAAAACGGTGTGTGTGTGTCGTACGTGATGTCGTCGTTACGTCAATTATTGTTCCCGTAGGGCGTAAAGAGACTATAATATAATAATACAAACTACGACGTTCTAACATATTGGCGATTTTTTCTCTAGTATTTGTTTATAAAATTTTGTTCGAAATACTTGAAAATAACCATACAATTTAAACCATAATATTAAATTTTAGGTTTCCGGGGTTATTAATAATGATAAAACAACCGGATATTTTAGATTCTGAGCTGAGGTATAGCGATGAATGAGTATTGATTTTACAATGATGTGCGTATATTTTTATTTTGAGTGTTTGTCAGTACCTATATTTTGGAACTGTCAAAATATTTAGATTTTCAACTTCAATATCTTTACTGGTAGGGAAATGAATGTAGGTAGTTATCAGTTGGTGTTTGGGGGTCAAATGTAAAAAATCCCAAGTTAAATTAACAATTGAAAAAAACGGGAACTTTCGGGCAAACACATTTTTTGACCAAATCGATTTTTTTATTAAGTTGTAACTCAAAAACGTACCTCATTGATATTTTCATTTTACGCCAAATGTTAACATAAATAATTTTTTGTTTCTGACTGATTTTCCGTAAGGTTTTCGTTGTCATGGTTACTTATTAACAAAAACATATTTTTCAATTTATAGATTTTCCTTGTAGAGGAAAAATATTGAGTACCGCGTTTGGTATGTTTTTTTTCTATAAATGTTAATAAACATATTTGGCTTGGTCAAAGATTTTGATAATTTACTACAAGGTTCATAAGTTATTATTAAAGCTATTTTAAAAATATTAAAGATACAAAAGCATGATTTTTTATTATAAGCATTTAAAGTTAAAACATCGTCAAAAAAATTACTCAAAATCACGATGATTTGCAAATTAATTTGTAGTTACCAAATTATAAAATACTTAGTTTTTATATAGCTAAGGTTTGAAAATGAAATACAAAGTTCTTCATTACTCATAAGCCATAAGTCATAGTCACTTGACACCTATACTGCACAGCAGAGCAGCTATCTACTTTCCCCTTTTTTTAATTTTATATTTCTAAACAGAAAGGTTTTGGTTATTGATGTACGAGTATTGAATACTTACCGAACTGCTGGTATAAAATATTATGTGGGCTAGCACTAGCAAACGCCAAATAATATGTTACTTTTAAGAATTATGAGGGCTCTGTTGTAGTCTGTTTGATTTTTTTTAGAGGCTTCTGTCAAGCCCGGATCAAGGATCAATTGGGCCCCGGAACACCATACACTTAGTGCCCCCCCTTTCAACTTTAACTTCAAAATAATTGTATTATTACGTATTAACGACTTTATATTATTGTATAATTTTTTTCTATGCAAAAAATATACAGAGTGTATCTTATATCATAGTATGCGGGTTTTTTTTTAACAATAATTATGGATCGATGATATGGAATTTCGTTAAAACAAAAAAGACGTGTTTCTTTATTTTTAACAGGCATTTTTTTTATAACATTTTCAAAATTTTTAAACATGCAGTTGTACCAATAATAAATTCGACTTTATTTTTTTTTAATGGTACCTCCTAACCACTATATTTTTTCATGGATTCTGGTAAAGCTTTTTGTCTGAACATTTTGACGGTAAAATTATCAATTTTAGTTTGCTAGGTTATTGTTATTACTTATTAACTATTGTCCTCGAAAGTTTAGTATAATATGCATTACCTAATACTTTTAACTGAAATACCTAATTTACAAGAGCTAAATATTTTTTTCTTATAACTACCTATATACTTAAATAGTTAAATCAGTGATCGAAAATGCTCAGAAAAAAAAACATAATCAAAATTGTGTTTGCCAACACAGTTTATTATTTATAGTAATTTTTCGTGATATAAAACTGAGAACAATTTTATTTTATAATTATTATTTATTAAGTAATAATAATTTATCTACTACCTACCTACTTAAATATATATATATTTTTTTTAAACTGTATTGGACGCGTTAAAAAAATATATTTTGGGGATAGAGATGGGCCCCGGGACCGTGTCACCCTTGCCCCCCTTTAATCCGGGCTTGGCTTCTGTCAACTCTTAGCCCCACTACAATAAAAAAGTTTATTCAATTTTGTTTCTTTTGTTATGTACAGTTTTTATTGAACATGGATAATAGATCTTATCCATTATGACGAATAATTGGCACACACGTAGCCTGCAGGATGTTTTCAAGGGGTTTTAATTTAATATTTAAATACAAATTGGTGGGGGTGCTGCTCACGCATTTAATATATTTTTGGATTTTACGGCCGTGAGGGGGTGGGGTGGTTTTAATAATAATAAAAGGTTTTTACACCCAAAACACCTCCCCACACTGGCTATGCGCATGAATATTGGCACAAAATATGATAGTAACCACCAGTATTGTACCGAAACTGAAATATAAATTAAGCTTAAAATCAAAAACACAATATTATCTGGATACCTATAAATTAATAAATTACGTAGTTTTGAGTTTACTAAAATAATATATTGCCGAATTGTCGTTATGTAAACACCATACGAGCGATGAAAGTCTCGACGAATTTTCGAGTGGTGTTCTTGGGGATCTGCAGGAAATCAACCCCTCCCATATCAATACGAATACTCTACCCCGGCGCGCGCGCATACACGCACCCCTCGAGTCCTCGCACATGTGTCCGCTTCTGTTTCACGTACATCATCGTTACGTATTATTGTTAAGTTAACTAATATTACTGTGGTTCATCAACCCAGCAGCTTATTACTATTATATCCAGTGCATATTTTGCCGCTGATATCCCGGGAAATGACATAAGTTTGTCTTTGTTTGTCATATAATAACAATAATGAGTAATGACTAATACAGTATAATGTTATTATCAACTAATCTAGTTAATTTATTAATTATCCACAGGACGAGAAAAATGCCGCCGTCGACACCGCCGTAACCGCCACCGCCGTTGGACAACGACGCTGTGCTACGATCAATTCGGTCCGAGCACTCTGTAGCAGACACAGCTGCAGTCTGCCAAATAGATAACAGCCACCGGGACGCCGACGTACAATATTATAATATTGTATTTTAAATAATATTATAGCAAGAGTTGAAAGTTATTTCATTAAATTTTTCGAAACACCCTGTCTTCCCCCCCACAAACCGTAACCCTACTGGCCCACCCCACCACGTCGTCGGTCGTTTCGGTGTTTGATTTTTCGGGTGCGCCGCCCACCGGCGCTGGAGAATCGCGTGCGGACGCTACGATTCCCCCGTGACGCGTCGCGCAACAAGATGTACGCCGCCGCCTACGTCGTCGCAGTCAAAACTGCCACCGCCGCCGCTGTCGTCACAACAAACGTCGTCATCGCCACTGCCGGCACTGCCGCCACAGCAGTAGCAATCGCCGCAGTCGAGTGTCGTTGGAGAAGTGCAGCGCCACGCGTTCTGCTCGGTTCGCGATGATCGGCGACTCAGCCGCTGCGTGCGTGCCATGTGACGCGTGATTCAGCCGCGCTGTAGTTCGCCAGAATTAAATATTTAATAATAATACTGTGGTATTATTTTGTGTACACGCGGTCCGGTTCAATCGGTTTGTTTTCGTTGCGTTTTATAAGAGAACCGTGAACAGTAGGAGGTACTTGTATGACAATATTATACTTAGTTAGACATATTTTATACTACTTCTCGCGTGCCTGACCGAAAATTAAGGGTCTGTAAGTGTCTTGAACTACCGCATTGGTGCAGCTCAACGCTCTTTATAATATAATATAATATTATTGTCGATGGACAGATGAAGTACAAACGACCTTTGCTCAAAAAATGCCGTCCATGAACTGGTGGTGGATCGTGTTCGTCTGGCTGTGGTCGCTGTCCGTCGCGACCACGGCCGTCGAGGAGAAGGTGTGCGGCAGCATCGACGTGCGCAACAGTGGCGAACGCTTTTCTGCGTTGCACAACTGCACCATCGTCAATGGTTATGTGCAGATCGTCCTGCTTGACGCCACTACACCGTCCGACTTCGACATCAGCTTCCCGCTGTTGCGCGAGATCACTCAGTACCTGGTCGTTTACCGTGTGGCCGGCCTGTACAACCTGGGAAAGCTGTTCCCGAACCTGATGCTGATCCGTGGATCGCACAGCCCGCATTTCCCGGGACTGGCGCTAATGATCCACGACAATGTTGACCTTAGGGAGATCGGACTGTACAGCTTGACCAACATCACACGGGGTTCCGTGATTATTTCGAAAAATCCCAGTGAGTCTTCGTGCCTATTTTATAAAATATAAATTACAATACATTGCACGATTGTAGGTATCCACATAATATATAATACTATATGGTTGACTGTACCGTCTATCGTACCGGTTACCGGTTATTTCTCAGATATCGCGCTTGAACGGTGACCGTAATAGGTACCGTTCATTTCCAAAGTAATACACTAATACCATATATCCTATATTATATTATGAGCTAACGCCGTTGACAATTTTTTTGGTATTCCAGTTCTAATACCCAGTGGTACAGGTATAAGATTTCAGTACTGTCAGCCCTTTAAAGCTTTTTGGTATTTCAGTTTTCTATAGTATGTACTGGTATTAGGGTATACAATATTCTAAACCAGTACCAACACTAATACCGTCAAATCGGTATCCGATTTCAATACCCTCAACCATAGTAATATATATATTTCATCAAAGATGAAGATCAAACTAAAGATTTTAGCCATTGAATATACCTACATAATGACTTTGTACTTATTGCAACATGTAAATATCATTATAACACTACATCACAAATCACATTATAATTTGTAATTAGATTGATACTTGTAATATTATGCACTATGCTGAAAAATTTAATTTCGAATAAATAAAATATATATATATTATATACATAGGTATTATACTGTGGCCACGTTTGGCACATGGGAATTAATACGATCCGTATATGCGTTAGTGTTCGAAATCTAATCACATTTTTATTTTTTTTTATAATTTATAGAGAACTCGTCGTCATTTGACTGGCATTTATATTACCTAGTGATTATTGATTAAAGTGACATAACTGCCTATAGGGAACATAAAGTCTCTTTTCTAAGACTCGAAAAGGATGACTACTTGCAGAACTCTCCTTAGCACGCACCTCCCCATTATGCGTCTATTATTTAATAGCGTTATGAGAGCACTGGAGCGGCACTAAAGTAGGTCGTTGATCGCAGCTGATTCCCTACTCGTATTCACTTCGAGTTAGGGTTAGACCGAGACCCCTCGTGACCGAATAGACACCGGTGCTTTTATCCCGTTGGAGAAATTGAGACTGGGTTGTCCCCCGAAATTAATCCAATTTTATAACGAATTCTCAATGATCATTAATGATGTATAGGTGAAATTGTAATAAGAATAAATATAATAATAAATAAAAATTGATTTTTATTATTAATAATAATAAAACTCAATTTTTAAAAATAATTATATTCGTTGGTGAAACAATTACTCGCACTTGCAAGACGCATGTATGCGATTAACAGTATTATAATCGAAAAAACTGTTATTAAGAATTTGGAAATTATATATAGGTATTCAAAAACAAATAAGTTTTTAAAAATTGACTTTGTGAACTTCCAAAATAAAATAACATAAAATATGGCTTGCGCGTGTTAATCATCAATATAAAACATCTGCTAATTTTGGAATGACATTTATTCTTATATTAACGAAGTAATAAATCGTCTTACATTACATTTTACATATCGTATCTCAGCCTCTCCAAACGGGCAATTTAGAAAAAACATCTCAGTATTTCCATCATTGTGGTTTTAAGTTAAAATTAAAGTAAAATTGTTACTGGATACAACATTGAAAGAAGACTATTTTATTTATGTACCTACAACCTACATCAGTTTTTTTAATAATTTAATTTTAATCCAACGGGTATTTATATATTTTGTGTACCTACCTATACTTTTAATTTTTTTAATACATGAATTTTTATCATAAAATTTAAAATAAGTGTAGGTACCGACTAAATCCTACTTACAGTCGTAGATAAAGTTATCAATGCGATTACAAGTAATTTTTCCTTATTTTTAGCCTAAACCCACATGTGGTCCGAACTTAGAACATGTAGGTACGAGGTTTTTTTGTAGTGTCGATACGCTGTTGTTTTTTTATCACTCATAAGTCATTGGCGTAATGCGTAGTAACTATAAAATTGTAGTGGCCCCTAAAAATTTAACGAAAAACAGAAGATTCACTATCTTAAGCTAAAAAATAAATATTTAATTTAAATGTAAGATCAATTTATTGTACAATATTGGTACACAACTTAAGTATAATAACGCGTCAATGGTAATTTAAATATTTGTAAAAAAGTACAATAAAAATAATTAGGTATTAATAGTAATTATTGACAATAATTAATAATAATTATGGAAAAAAAAAATAAAAAATTTTAAATAAATTAGGTACACACATTTATTTTTTTGACTTTAATTCTGGAATCCTATCATTCGTCCAAGTTTTTAACAAACTTATATTTCTTTAGATAGGTATTAGAGCTAAGCCTCGAAGACGGTCTTTGATCATGGTAGGTTGTTCTCTAAAAGTTCTTAATTATGTTTAGTTTTGAAAATTATCGTTCTTCACTATAGCACTGGTTACTGAGATGGTTAAATATTATAATATTGAAGCTGTGAAAACATCAAATAAAATTTGAACTAAAAAATAACAAATTTAGGAGAATATAGGTATAACATTGCCTTAGTTAATGCTAAAAATAGTAGATTGTAATTCTAATATTGTACTGTCACACTTAATGAATGCAACTGAATTTGTAAGTACTAATGTACATGGTCGAAATCTTAAAATCAGGTAATATGGATAAACTCTAAAATACCTACCCACAAAATATGTGTATCACATAAGACAAGATATTAAATTAATGTTTATTCAATAAAATATAAACTTAAGAAATTATTTTAAAAATTTTGCAATTATAAATATGTACCTACAAAAGTATCATTATCATAAATATTTTAAACTTGTTAGTTTAAGCTTTGATTTTGAAGGACCTGGGGCATTGAGCCCTATCCTTACGCCCCTGTCAAAAGTAATTGGTAGACAAGTAATAATGTAATATTGTCTCAGAATATTTTGTTTTACATTATTTTGTACCATACTATCTAATTATTCAAGCATTTTGTTTATTTATTTATTCTATTTGAATAAATAATATTTTTTTCATAGTTTTTATAACAACAATGTTGATATAGTATCGATTTTTTTTTTGAATTTTATATTATTTTTGTATAATATTTGTATATATTTCAATATATATGAAAATACGATATATATACGTTTCTGTATCTTGCGGGTTGAATTGTATATTATTATTGAAATTCCGAAATGTAGTCACTCACAATTGTACTGTATATTATAATATATTTCTTTATTTTTATTAAAATACACAAACAGGACGTGTGGTAGTGGTTTTGATTGCCTAACGAACATGTCTTGATCAACCAACCGCCAAATTTATACCTAAACATATATTATTTTTATTTTTGAATTGTGTAGGTACCTAAGTATACCTAGTAGGTACTTCTACATAATTAAAAATACTCAACAATATATAATATATTTAATATTATAATACTTATAATTAACCATTAGCGTTTGTTTAAACATTTTAACAGATCCACGTGGTTACGTCCATCCTTTATTGGCCTGGAAGGAGGGGGGGGGGGGTCAGGAGCTGTTCGAAAAACAGATATTATAATATATTAAGTACCACAAAACTCTAACGAATATATTTATATCGCGTGTGTAATTGATATTATTGCTCACGTATACAATATTATACTATTTGTTAATGTTCCTATGATGATATATTTTTGTGTGTAATGTCAATATTAACATGGTATAAGCTCGATGTAATCAGCTGCCGTCCGGGTCGCTGGACGTTGTCACCGCTTCTATTATGGAATTATCATTTATCGCAAACATATTACTATCATTATATTTTCGACAATACATTAATAACGTCGTAATTATTACTACAACGATTGTGTGACTGTCAGGTCTATATCAGCGCGTGCGTATAATATAGTGTTCTGCAGGCTGCATATTCTGTATTTAGGTAGCGTACACAGCGTCCAATATAGTTACTAAAAACGTTTACTTCGTCGAGCAAACGAACAACGACGCGTATATTGCTAGGAAATAACTCGATTATCAAGTTTCGTCCTGCAATATAGTTTTAACGATTCAGTTCGTGTTTCCATATCAGCTGTCGTCACCTATTGCGGGGCAAAGGGGACCACGAAATACATCTTGCAACATGCTTTTTATTAACTTCAAGTTATATTCGAAAATATATTCTTCAAACCAGGGTGCTTTGTTAGGATTTGTGTGGACTGTCGATCAAATGCGGTCTGGGGTTGTGCGTAAATAATCAAATATGTAAATGCGAAATTTTGAGGGTATTGTATATAGTTTGAGGCGTCATAAAGGTTCCATTTTTATAATAATGAATGTCAAATGTAATATTAATGTTGCTGAGTAATGTAATTTTTATATTAGTATCAAATATTTACTTTTTAGTGTCAGTCAAATTATAATCGATCAATAAAATATAATAATGTACGATAAGTTATTTTAATTTATACGGATTAATGTATTTCGTCATAAACCATAACATTTGACGTATTGCTTTACGTTAGTCTGTTTTTAAAATCGGCTACTTATGATGATGTAAGTCAACAATTTAGTATTAGCCAGCCTATAGCCATTACCCGTTACATGTAAGACGTAGACTCCTACGTTTCAGTAAGTTTTCTATGTATCTCTTGGTACATTCTAAATTCATAAATTGTTTATGTCTACGGCCCGTTTCACATGAACGCGTATCATACGCGACGTATCGTACGCGCGCGTTTTCCATTTTACATTGATTAAGTTCATACGCGCCAAACCGGCGAGGGAAACGCGCCATCGTCGGAGTGGCGCGTATGAATTTGACCAATGTAAATTAAAACGCGCGCGTACGATACGTCGCGTATGATACGCGTCCATGTGAAACGGGCCTACCGATAAAACAAATAAAAACATTTGGCTTTAATATTGCATATTGATTGATATTATTATAGGCAGTGAAGTATTGTTAAAAATATTAATGGGTATACTAATTTTTCAGCCAGGAAGGTGCCAATGTAAAAAACCTTATATTTAAGTAAAAAAAAATTGCAAAAGCCGTGGAAAAACCCAATGAAAAATGTTAAAGGACAGGAGCCACACATTGATAACACTTTCTATTTTTGGAAACTTAAATTCAGAAAAAATACATACAATTTAATACAGACATAAAGTAAAGTAGGTACTCAGTAATGACGTAATGTATAAATGTTACCATAAACGGTATATTATACGAGTATATATATTATATTAACGGTTCTTAAAATATTTTTTTTTTCGCCACTGAAAATTATATAATAGGAATTCCGTATAGCCTAACCGTATAGCCAAGCATACAAGCATTGAACATTTAGAGCCCCCCCCCCCCCAAACCTAGTACATAGCATAAGTTAGTATTCGAATATGTGTTTTTAAAATAATTAATTTGTGTTAAATTTTGTATAGAATTGTGTCACGCGACGACAATCGATTGGGGCCAAATCGCCAACGGAGTGAGCAACGATATTAACGTAATCAGCAACGACGAACCGGCGAAGTGCAACGGATGCTCTAATATTGGCTGCCCGGAAGACTTGTGCTGGTCCCACGAAGTCGGTCGATGCCAGTACGGCAAGTTGAACGGGTGCCATCCACTCTGCGCTGGCGGTTGTGACGAACCGCACTCTGCCAGGCATTGTTTTGCGTGCACTGCGTATATGCACAAGGGCGAATGCATCCGGGAATGTCCATACGGCCTGTAAGTATAATAATATGGTGTCGGAAAAATCGGTTTTTCATTTTGCCATATCCGCAAGTACTGATCGAGTTTGTTTTTTCTGTTATATAGGTACGGCCACATCAGGTCTTGCTTGACCGCAGAAGAGTGCCACAGTTTGCCGGTGACAAGAGAGGAATCGACACCGGACGATCTGAACACCCATTACATCCCGTTCGAACGCGTTTGTCGCGACGAGTGTCCGTACGGGTTCCAGGTGACGGCAGACAAAAGAAACTGTACGGTGTGCACGAAAACGAGATCCGGACACTGTCAGCGGAACTGTAACAGTTTCAAGATCAGTGATGACATGTTGAGGAAGAATTACGAATACCGTTTGCACACCAACTGCACAACGATAAAATCTCTGGAGATTGAAGTCAAATACGGTACCAGCGAGGACGTGGAACGTCGACTAGAAGAATACATCGGCAAAGTAGAAGTTATTTTGGATCAGTTAAAAATCATACGATCGTATTCTCTGAGTTCTTTGAATTTCTTGCGGAGCTTATACGAAATACGTGGTGAAAATACAGTTAATAAAATGGCTTTGGTGATACGTGGCAATAAAAATTTACAAAAACTTTGGACTACCGGTGAAAACGAAACCCGCCCAGTTAAGATATTGAACGGCACGGTTTCTTTTCACTACAATCCAAAGTTATGCATGTCAGAAATATATAAATTTGGAAATCTGTCTACACTGCCTACATTCTCCGATATTGAAGTGTCAGTTATATCTAACGGTGATCAGTTCGCATGCACTGTTTATAATTTACAAGTAGAAACCGTTAAAATTGATTCACAGTCTATTGTGTTACAAATGCACAAACCTGTGGAAGCAGATAATTTGGAAAGGTTTCTTGTGTATTTTATCGAAGCATCTAAATGGAATGATACTAGAGAATCAACCGATTGCGAAGATTCTAGTTGGAAAATTGATGATATAAGTTCAAAAAAAGCTTTAAATGAAACTGAAATCTTCCATGTTATTACAAATTTAGAACCAAACACAGAGTACATTTATTATGTAAAGACTTACACAATTTCTTCCAAGACAAGTATGAGTAGTATATTTCGTAATAAGACTCTTCCATCAAAGCCGTCCTCTCCCCAATACTTTAATGCTCAACCAGTGTCTAGTTCTGAAGTGGAACTAACATGGAAACCTCCTTCTCATCCTCATGGAAAATTGGTCAAATACATTATCAAGGGAATTCATTTAACCGATGACCAAGCCATGTTGGATGAACGTAGTTATTGTAGAAACAAAACATTCAATGGGAACGGCATAACACACAAATCATCCTCTTCAATTATTAAACCATCATCTGATGACACATGTGAAAAACAGTGCGGACCACAGAAGAATATTGTTAATAATATATGCAATGATTTTGAACACGGTATAGACATAGATTTAATTTCATTGAACAATCACAGGTATACATTTGAATCGTGCAGCAGTAATATTCTTAATATCTTTATTAATTCAAAATGTTTGGCAATGCAAAACAACGATGACTCTGTTTTCCCAAGTATTGTAAATACTTTTATAAATGAAAACTGTACAGAAATGTGGTCAGTCAGTAATATGTTGAACAATGTTACTCATAGAGATGGTAGCTCATCTTATTTCCAGATTCAGTTAAATGAAAATGTTACATCGTTTAATCTAAGTAACCTTAGGCATTATAGTCAATATTTGCTGTCCATATTGGTTTGTAGAGAGGTTGTCCAACAAGAATTAAACCAAAGCAATATAAATTCTTGTAGTCAAGAGACATTAATATCCTTCCGCACTTTGGAAAATAAGCAAGCAGATATTATTGATAGCGAAACTGTACGAGATGAAATTGTGAATAATCACACAGTTAATATATTTTGGGAGTCACCAAAGCTTATAAATAGCATAATACATAGTTTTCAGTTGTACTATAAGCGCTCGGAAGCGCCTAATTTTGTTTCTGTGTGTGTTACTATGAAGGAATACGAAAATGCTGGCCGATCATATGTCTTCAAGAATATACTGCCTGGTGCTTATCAATACAGAATCCAAGCTGTTTCATTATACGGACCTGGGCCATATACTACTGTGAAAGAATTTAATCTTCCCTATCCAGACGCATTTAACAGTTGGCACCTTATTCTCTTAATTGTTATTTGTGGTTGTTTATTAATTGTATTAACAGGTGTTATTATTCGTACACACTTTAGTCGTAAGATGTTAGAACGCAATAACATGTTTAATCTAGCCAATAATCCTGGTTACGTTGGCATTTATGTCGAGGACGATTGGGAGACACCCCGAGAAGATGTGGTTATACTGAAAATACTTGGTAGAGGGACATTTGGCACAGTTCACGAAGGTCTGCTAATGCCTCATTCTATACCATGTGCTGTAAAATCTGTAAGCAAGTCAAATTTTTTGAGATATCATACAGAGTTTTTGAATGAAGCTGCTATAATGAAGAAGTTCAGTGAAGCATATCATATAGTGAAATTGCTTGGTGTAGTGACCAAGACCCACCCACCACTACTCATAATGGAACTCATGGGTCGTGGCGATTTAAAAAGTGTATTGGTGAAGTGCAAGAATTCTGATGATCCACCTCCACCCAATAGGTAAGACTTGAATGATAATTTTTTTTTGTAGACATTCATTAACACATTTTTATGAGTATTTGTTTATATTTTAGATACACTATCATTCGTATGGCTGCACAAATAGCTGATGGTATGGCGTTCCTAGAATATAATAAATTTATTCATCGTGATTTAGCAGCCCGAAACTGTATGGTGGCTAATGATATGACAGTGAAAATTGGCGATTTCGGTATGAGTCGACAAATATATAATGGTGATTATTATCGCAAAGGAAATAAGGGTGAAATGCCTATACGGTGGATGGCTCCTGAGAGCCTCAGTGAAGGTATATTTACCAGTCAGTCAGATGTCTGGAGTTATGGGGTCGTGATCTGGGAAATGATGACGCTGGGTGCACAACCCTACCTGGATAAGAGCAACAATGAGGTCATGGCTCATGTGCTTGACGGCAACTTACTAAACCTGCCAATCTTCTGTCCTGATGTGTTAGCTGGTATCGTTAGACTGTGTTGGAATTGGACTGCTTCCCAACGACCAAGGTTCCTAAAAATAGTCGAAACACTTGACGCTTATCTGGAAGATGATTTCAGGTTAATTAATTTATAATTATTCACTAATTAACAATATTTATATATCTTGTAACTTGCTACAATACTCACTTCCTGTTTATAGATCAGTTTCGTTTTATCACACCCGCGGCTTACACAATGAGTCGCCTGCTGATCAATCGTTGATGTCACCTTGTACTACGTACGAAGAAGATGTCGATAACGAAAGCGTTAGTTTTGAAGCCGGTGACACTGTTGCTGTAAATAGTGCGTTCCATGTAGACAAAAACAAAATGAGTAATGGACATTTATCTCCAATGTAATTTTTAGGGTCAAAAATATTTAAGTGAAAATAACGTTACCAGTAAAGTCTATTTAAAAAAATAAGTGTTTTTTTTTGTTTTCTTTATAAATATTGTATAAACGGTCCAAACTTGTCATCTGGGTAACCGTTTTTGTAGACTATTAATATTTCGTTGTTAACTTTTTTTTTATATAATTTAATATTTTGATGTTCTAATTTTATTAAGAATTAAAATTACATAATTTTTTTTTCGTACCACCTTACATGTATAAACATATTGTTCTAGTTTCTAGTCAGCGCGTGGAAATCTTGTCTCTCCACCGTCTGTTTTTTCATTTTATTATTATTTTATTTTATAATAGATTTTTACATGCCATTACAAAATCACTAAAAATAAAATATATATTGCCATATAAATACTTTTTTGGAACTATCTGATTACTGTTTAAAATATTTTTTTAATATGGTTGAAACTAATATTCCAAAAAGGTATTTAAATTTTACATGAGCATATATTTTTTGAAAATATTTTTTAAATATAAAAGTCTCAATTAAAAAACTGCAAACATAAGACTAATATTGTCCCACAATTTTTAGAAAAATTAATTTATACTAATTGTGTGATAGTAATATTGTTTATGATAAACATTTTTAAAATTGTATTGTGGGTACATTCTTTTAACAGTTTGATATATTATGTTCTCTAGTAAAATTGTCCTTTTCCATATTTTTACTGAGATGTTCTTTTAACTTAAAAATTTAGCAGAATTGGATAAATCGTTGCCAAAAATGTTTACTTATTATTATAATATTTTTTTCCCTTCAAAAAATTAAATTAGGTAATTAAAATTATTTGAAATTAATGCACATTGCGTATATTACATTATTACCTAATATTTTAGTAAGATTACATTTCGATTAATAAATTGGAGTCACATTTTTACTGATCACTGTTTAAACCGTTTTAATTTGAAGAGATGATGAATATAATAATATAGTATAATATATTAATATTATACTATACAACTTTAAATTTTAATCTAAATAAATCTGAAAAAAGGATATTTTTTTTTTTAGCCAAATGTATTATTTTATATGGTAATCAGGTAATGTACCTATAAATAAAGTATGTATAATGTAAACAATTGAAAATTGAAAAATATATATTTTTTTTTAATATGAATTTATACTGTGGTATTTCATAAATATTTCAATGTTGTAATTTTTATTTACATTATTTCAGAACTAATAAAATATACATGACCACGAGAATGATGGTTTTTTTAACATAGTCATATTATAGTTGTTTTATATCTGGGTTCATGTGTACCGTCTACCCCTATAAATACGGAAGTATTATTTTTCGTCTCATCTTTTAACTCTTAATAAGTTTTATATACATGGTAAAAAAAGGTGGGCAAGTGGGTGTCGCTCTGCTGTACAGTAGGTTACAAGTGGGTCACTGTATAATGGATGGTATTAAATTTGAATTCAATGATATAATATCATTGTATAAGAAAAACGATTCTGAGCGGTGACGGTATGTCAGTCTATGTATAAGACATATTATAAACATATCTATGGTATTAAACAAAAAATTGACCTATAATAGGTACCAGGCGCGTAGCCAGGGGGGGTGTTACAGGTGTAATAACACCCCCCCCCCCTCAACCGTGGTGTACTATGTTTTATAATTTAAACCGGGACACGGGCACACGGAATTAGATAATTATTATTTTAGACCATTCTGTGTCAGTTTATCGTTGACTCGTTTCATGTACGATACAAGATATCTTTTAATGCAGAGTATTTACAACTTGTTTACAACTTCATCATTAGAGTGTTACTCTATGGTATCAACTATCATTGGGGATTACAACTTCAATACCTCGACTAGCTATAAACCGAACAAATCGTTTTAGCATTTCAACAGAATCACCGGAAGTCTATTTTAGGATTTTGATTTTTGTACCTTTTTTGGATCATTTCTGTGAGCAACTAAATGACAGATCTTTGAACCATAAATCACTATTAAAACAATTTACTTGTTTAATAAATGCAAATGAAAAAAATGAGACCGAATTTAAAGAACTACTTAAGACATATTCTTCAGATATTGAAGCTGATGAAATATCTGCAATTGGTGAGTTTGCAATATGGTATGAACATATAAAAAATAAAAATCCTAAAAATGCTACCGAAGCCTTCTTTGACAGCAACGAAGACATATTTCCTACTGTTTATCGACTTTTACAAGTATTGATTACTTTACCTGTAACAACTGCAAGCAGTGAAACGTCTTTTTCCTCATTAAGACGCTTGAAAACATATCTAAGAAATACAACTGGTGAAAATCGCTTGAATGGCTTAGCTGTTATAAATATTCATCGAGATTGAGTCGTAACCACAGACGAAATAATAGATACACTAGCCTCAAAAAGTCGACACATTAAGTTAATTTAAAAATGTATTCATTTTTTTTTATTGATAATAAAATTATATAAGAGAACTATTATTCTAAACTATATTATCTATTCACTGGTAAGTTGTAATACGTTTGTATAATAAATAATTTTCAAGCCAGATATGAGCATTTTTAATATTTCCATACACTTATTTTTCTCAAAAGTGAAAGTATCGAAAAATCGCCCAAGCTAAGACCCAGATAATGTTCTTACCTAAAAGTTTGATAATATGTCGATTCACTCTAGTATCAAAACTAACAGCTCACTATTGAAAATACTGAACGACAATTTGTTATGTCGTGCGTGTGTAAGACAGAGACAAGACACGCGTCTTAGCGTCCTCTTAAGTTTGAATAACACCCCCCCTTTGAAATTTCTAGCTACGCGCCTGATAGGTACCTATAATAAATTCCAAATTAATCATATCACAATATCCATTAGATACTTATAACGCGTTATACATCAACAAAAACCGTGATACTATCATAGATATAATATAATAGTACACTTTAGAAGTTTCAAGTACCCACGAATAATATTATTCAATCACAACAAAATAACTAAAATAGTTATTCTAGATTTTTTAATATGTAATTTCGTCCAAATTTGAATTTAAAATGTCTGTAAAAAATAAGTGTGTTCATATATTTTTTAGATTTTTTGATTATAGTATGAACTATTTATGAGAACCTTTGTGTTGAATTTGTAATCCTTAACTATAAAAACTGAACATTTTATAATTTATTAATTACAATGATTGATAATTTTCGAGATTTTGATAAATTTTGTCGAAATTTGATCTTTAAATGCTTATAAAAAAAAACTGTGCCAATGTCTTTTTAATATTTTTCAACTGATATTGTAACAATATATCAGGAGCCTTGTATTAAATTTTTACACTTTTTGGCCCAACAGATAAAACTTTATTGATATTTATAGAAAAAAAAACTAAAAAAATTGAAAGCTGTAAATGTCCATAAACAGCTCAAAAAGAGTCAAAATATTTTCAAAATTGTATGATGGCTGGGAAACACTACAGTATAGACTATAATTTAAATAGACTGGTTTTATTTAGTTGGGTTCAATACTTTAATCGTACTTTTATTTTCTTAAATTTTAAAACATTAACGTGTTGGTAACTAAATGAACGATGGAATGAAATAGACGGCTATAGTCAATTTGCACCAAAGCTGACCCAAATATACCAACTATACCCATATATAGGTACAACATGTGTAATTTGCACCATTTTTTTTAAAATGCGTCTGTAATTTGCACCAAAATAAGGATATGTAATTTGCACCATCCTCAGGTAGTAAGAAATAGGAATTGTAGTTTACACCAAAATTAAAATTGATTATTTTTTCAATAGTATCTCGGTAGTACCAACTTCCAAGTTTCTATATCCTAATTCTTATTATAAATTTAGCTTAGTTTTTATTTATAAAATAGCTGAGCTTATACACATATTGCTGTAAGTTTATATAAAATCGTATTATTATGAATATAAAAAAAAGTTAGCTTTTTTAATTTTGCATATATTTATATATTATTTATATATATTTATATTTTGCATTATAATTATTTTAATTGACTAACTTTTTTTTATATTCATAATAATACGATTTTATATAAACTTACAACAATATGTGTATAAGCTCAGCTATTTTATAAATAAAAACTAAGCTAAATTTATAATAGGAATTAGGATATATAAAAACTTGTAAGTTGGTACTATCGAGATACTATCAAAAAAAAATAATCAATTTTAATTTTGTTACAAATTTAGGTATTTAGGTGGGTACCTACCTTGGTTATATAACAACGGTTAAATATTTGTCTGCCGTTGACAAAATATACGCTAAGTAAAACTTACCTAAATATATAACCGTATAGGTTATATATATATATTAGGTACCTATACTTACACTGAACAGATCGCTAAACACACAATGGAGTAATATTTATTATTTATTATGTAGGGAAAGTGTGTATACTTCCGCACCACCTTAGATATTATATAAAAATAATAACAATATGCAGTAGCTACACTACCGGCTATGTGTTATGTATAAAAAGGTAGGTAGTACATATTATTATAACTGTGCGTTTTTTTTTTTTTATAATGGTAGGTATATCCCCACGTAAGCCTAATCCACTTTTATTTAGTATAAGCAAACACAAACATGCGAAACTATAACTATAAAAATAAATAAATAAATTTAATAATATAACTATCGTCTATCACTAAGGTCTAATATATAGTGCCTTTTATTTTTTATTTTTCACAGGTATGAACGATGGACAATAATTTTTCTATATTGTTGTATACATGGGTATAAAAAAAACATAGGTATACCTACAACACATCCCCTACTGTTGTTTGTTGCATATATCATACTATTCATACTATTAATACTATTATAATATTATATTATGTATGGATAATTAGAGATGTGAGTTTGTATTACACAGTATTACAGTGGTAAAATATTGTATTATATGCAAGGCTAAGGCTGGGCGCCTGCGCAAGTTAAGAGGACGCTACACCCTC